CAAGAAGGAGAAATGAAAGGTAATCTGAATTGGAAAGAAGTAAAACTGCCATTATTTGCAGATGACATGATATTGTACATAGAAAATCCTAAGGACTCCCAAAACATTACTAGATCTAATAAATGAATTTGGCAAAAGTATCGGGATACAAAATTAATATTCAGAAATTGATGGCATTTTTGTATACCAATAATGAACTATCAGAGAAATTAAGAAAACAATTTCATTTACTATAGCAACAACAACAAAAAATAAGGTACCTAGGAATAAATTTAAACTAGAATGTAGAACATTGAAGAAAGAAATTGAGGACAATATAAATACATGGAAGCATGTATCATGTTCATGGATTGGAAGAATTAACATCATTAAAGTGTTCTTATTACACAAAACAATCTATACATTCAGTTCAATTCCTTTCAAGATACCAGTGTTTTATTATGTATTTCACAGAACTAGAAGAAATATTCCAAAAATTTATATGGAACCAAAAAGACCTCAAATAGCTTCAGCAATCTAGAGAAAAAAGAACAGGTGGTATCATACCTGATATCGAATTATACTATAAGGCCATAGTAATCAAAATACCATGGTACTGGCATAAAAACAGGAATATTGATCAATGGAACAGAACAGAGAGGCTAGAAATATACCCATGCCTTTATGGTGAGTTAATATTTGACAAAGGAGCATACAGTGGAGTAAAGACAGTCTCTGCAGTCAGTGGTGGTGAGAAAATTGGACAGGTGTATGCAAAAAAAGAAACTAGATTACCAACTTATACCATACACAAGAATAAACTCAAAATGGATAAAAAGACTTAACTGTAAGCCACAAAACCATAAAAATCCTAGAAGAAAACACAGATGGTAAAATCTTAGACATCTCTCATAGCAGTATTGTTGCCAAGATTACCTTGTGCAGGGGAAACAAAAAAGTAAACAAATGGGACTACGTTAAACTAAAATGCTTTTGCACAGCAAAAGAAACTGTCAACAAAATGAAAAGGGAATCCACTGAATGGGAGAACATATTTGCCAATGATACCTTTGATAAAAGGTTAATTTCCAAAATATATAAAGAACTTATAGAACTCAACACTAGGAAGACAAGCCAATTAAAAAATGGGCAAAGGACCTCAATAGGCACTCCTCCAAAGAAGACATGCAGATAGCCAGTAGACATATGAAAAAATGTGCTGTCACTAATCATCAGAGAGATGCAAGTTAAAACCACAATGAGATACCACCTCACACCTGCCAGAATAGCTAACATCAATAAAACAACAATAAGTACTAGTGAAGATGCAGAGAAAAGGAACCCTTTTGCAGTGTTGGTAGGGATGCAGACTGATGTAGACACTGTGTACAACATTGTAGAGTTTTCACCAAAAACTAAAAATGGAACTGCTTTTTGACTCAGCAATTCTGCTTCTGGGAATATACCTGAAGAAACCTGAAACACCAATTCAAAAAAGTACGTGCACCCCATGTTCATTTCAGTGTCATTTGCAATAGCTAAGATCTGGAAACAGCATAAGTGCCCATCAGTAGATGAGTGGATAAAACAGTTATGTTACATTTACACGAAAGAATACTACTGGCCATAAAAAAGAAGGAAACCTTATCTTTTATGACAGCATGGATGGATTTGGAGATTATCGTGCTAAGTAAAATAAGCCAGTCAGAGAAAGACAAATGATTTTATATGTGGAATCTAATGAACAAAAGAAAACTGACAAAGTAGAAAATAGAGGCATGGATACATGGAACTGACTAGCAGTTGTCAGAAAGGGAGAGTGGTTGGGGAACTGGATGAAAGAAGGTGAAGGGATTAGCCAAAAAAACATATACATAACATAGACAACAATATGGTGATAGCCAGGGGAAAAAGGGGTGGGGACTAGGTGGAGGTGGGCAAAGTGGGAGGAAATGGGGAGAGAAGGAGACGTTGCTTGGGGCAATTGATGCACAGTGCATTGTGCAGATGATATTTTATTAAGTTATGTACTTGAAATCCGTATGCTTTTGCAAACCAAAGACACCCTGGTAAATTCAATTAAAAAATAAAAAAAGATTAAAACAAATGAATAAGCCAAACAAACAAAACAGACTCATAGAAACAAAGAACGAACTGATAGTTGTTAGAAGGGAGGAGGTTAGAGAGGTGGGCAAAAAGGTGAAGAGGAATGTAGTCAATAATAGTTCGATAACTTTGCATGGTGACAGGGTTACTAGACTTCGTGTGGTTTTCACATTGTTAGATATATAAATGTTGAGTCCTTTTGTTTTACACATGAAACTAATACAATATTGTATCAATTATAATTTAATAATAAATTTTAATAGCTGCTTAAAGTGTAAACAGCATGTAAACCTAAATAGTTGTTATTGAATAGTGGTTAAAGCTGTCTTTGAAGTCATTGAATCAGGAGTGCTTTTTGCTTTGAATAGCAGAAGGTCCTATTACAGTGGGTTAAACAAAGAGCCAACCCTACCCCCTTCCCACCCACAAACACAGAAGAGAAATAGATTTAGGCAGCTGGTGGTGAAAGTTGAGTGGTTCACAGATGGCTATCTCTGAGACTCTCTTGATCTTATTTTTGCATAGTGGTTATTGCAGCTGTAACTTCAGTTAACAAAGAGGTAACATTTGTTTCAGAAAGCAAAACTTAGCCCACAGAAAACTTTGCTCCTATTTCAGTGACCAGAATTTTGTCATATATTTACCCTTGGCTGAAAAATAGCTCGTAGGGATTGGGTTGAGAATGGAGCTTGTGTCAGTTATCCAACAGTGTAAACTAGAGTCAGATTTATAATATCCACTCTGTCATTTGTTAACTGTGTAACTATAATCAATTTATTTAGTCTTTCCAAGCCAGAATTTTTTCATCTGTGAAATGAGGATGAAGAGGATAATTGTTGTTATTATACTATTCCTGTGGCTCCTACTCCTACTGAAATGAGATAATACATTTTAAAATCTGAGCAATGTGACAGACAAGGGTTATTGCTCACATTAGCTGTGATCGTATTATCATCTTCATGTCACCACCAGCTTTATTCTTTTATTTTATTGAGGTTAAATTCATGCAATATCAAAATAATCATTTGTAAGTGTACAATTCAGTGGCATTTAGTATATTCACAGTGTTGTGCAACTATCACTTCTTTCTAGTTCCAAAATATTTTCATCACCCCAATAAGTAAACCTGGTATCACTTAAGCACTCTTGTTTTCCTCTTAACCCAGCTCCTGCCAACCACTAACCTGCTTTCTTTTTTAATAGATTTACCTGTTCTCAGTATTTTATGTAAATGAAATCAGGCAATATATGACCTTTGTGTCTGGCTTGTTTCACATAGCATGTTTTCGAGGTGTAGCCACATTGTACACTTACCAGTGCTCTGTTCCTTTTTATGGCTGAATAATAGAAATACTCCTTTTTTGTTCATCTCATCAGTTGATGGACATTAAGGTTTTTTGTACCTTTTGGCCATTGTGAATAGTGCTGCTCTAAATATTCATGTACAAGTATCACGAATAGCTTTCTCACTTATTATATTCCTATGTAGAACTCCTACACAGTAGTCCATGTAGTAATTCTATATTTAACTTTTTGAGGAACCCCCAAACTATGCTTTACATTGTCTGCATCATTTTACATTCCCACCAGCAGCATATGAGTTTCAGTTTCTTTGCATCTTCACCAATACTATTTTGTTTTTTTGTATTATTATAAACATCCTACTGGATATGAAGTTTCGTTGCATTGTGGTTTTGATTTACATTTCCCTAATGACTAGTGATGAACATTTTTTCATGTGCCCATTTGCTATTTGTTTATCTTCTTTGGTGAAAAGGGCTATTGCAGTCCTTTGCCCATTTTTAAATTTGGTGGTTTGTCTTTTTGTTGTTGAGCTGTAAGAATTCTGTATATATTCTAGATATTAAACCCTTAACATATATTATTTGCAAATATTTGTTCTATTCTGTAGGTTTTCTTTTCCCTTTCTTGATAGTGTTCTTTGATGTACAGAACTTTATTTTTTTGAAGCCTAATTTATTCTATATTTTGTTGCTTGTACACTAGGTGTCATATCTAAGAATTCATTGTAAAATTTAAAGTCATGAATATTTTTTCATTTTCATCCAGGAGTTTCATGGTTTTCATTCTTAAATTTAGGTCTTTGATCTTAAAGAATCAATTTTGGATTAATTTGATTCATTTTGAGTTAATTTTTCTGAAAAATTAACAGAATGAAGTAGGACCACCAACTTCTTTCTGATCATCTTTATCACTTGTATTACCCATTAATATGAAGCATGAAGCCACTCCAACAAGCATCCATGAATCATTTTCCTGAATAGCTTTTCCCCCATGTATTCAATCAATGATGGTTTCCTTCTTAATTTTTATAATTGAAAATATTATGCATAATGTAAAATGTGTTTCCTAATTAACTGATAAAATGATCCCACTTTATCCTGTGTATGATAGCTACCTTAGATATATTTATAGTAGGTCTGGGAGTTTTAGTTTATAAAATTGGCAGGGGTGATTAGTAAATCTCTTGTTGGTTTCTGGGTTTAAATGTCTAGGTTTATCACTGATTTTGAATATTGAATTTGCTATTATAGTCAATGAGAAGGTAATTGTTACTTTTGAATTCTAATCTTGTTTTATTTGGTTATTTGTTGTCTATTATTTTTTACTGAGTACCAATCCTTGATTATAAGTTATCCCACTAGTCTTTTTTTTCTCCTTCACCTACAGTGTTCATAGTGATGTATTTTCCTGGGAAAAAGTGGTAGTGTTATGGTAGTCTATATAAACCTGTTGCATACTATTCTTTAGAATTTAAAAAAAAAAATCTACCAGTACAGGATGGACAGAATAGACCTTATATGTACTTCATTATCTGTCCAAAATTTTAACTTTTAAATTTGTCACTTTGTTTTAAATAGAAGAGAGTATAATTTGTTTGTACCTTTTTTTAGTACTTGGTTCTGAAGCTTGAAAGGCCTGCTATAGTCCAGAATATCACATTTGGAAAATATGAGAAAACGCATGTCTGTAATTTGAAGAAATTTAAAGTCTTTGGTGGAATGAATGAAGAAAACATGACAGAGCTATTATCCAGGTGAGTTATGATTATGGGGTGGAAAGAGTTGTCTTCTAAACAAGCTGCAGTCTTAGTTTAGTCTCTTTGTAGCTAAATATGCATGGTTTGATTTTTTTTCCCCCCCAAGAGAGAAGAAAATATTTCTACTCTTCTATTTCTAGTGACTTATTTTAATATTGTGACTTGAGTTAGCTTTTTTTAAACCTCTAGATACTAGTTAATATTGTTACCAGACAAGAAAGAATAAAAATTTTTGTTTTATTTTTACTTGTGATTTTTTTAGTTGTATTTTTGGACTTTAATTGCCTCAGAAATACTTCTAGCTTTAATAATTTTTTTGCTATAAAAATATAGATAAAACAGTAAGATTGGTTGCCCTAATCCAGAGTAATATTCTGGGAGTTTACTATAAATTGGAGACTAAAAAGAGAAAAAGTTTGTTACTGCACCTAGCATAATGCCTGCCACTTGGAGAGAGCTCAGTAAAAGTGAGTTTTAACAACATAGACCACCAGGAATGAAAGGATTAATTTACCCACTAGTTAATGAAAAGTCAAATACCAACAGAATGGACAAATAATGCTATGAGGTTTTAGAATATATCTATGACATGGTATGTCCCATTAGCAGAATACTTTATACTGTTAAATACTACCTTTATACTGTATTTGATTTAAGTCATGAAAGTGTTTGAGGGCCTAGGAAAACCTGAAGATAAGCAACTCCCATAAATACTTGTGTCGACCCTAGTTGTTTAAGTGGAGAAATGATAGGGGTTTATTTTTATTCAGGATAAAGTGTATACTGTTAAAACAATAGAGTAATGTCATCTTTGAAAATTTGTTGAGCTATAAAAGGAACATTTGTATCTCAGTCAGAATTAAATAACTTAATTCTTTGACAAATTCTAATATTCGGCCCTGTTTAAGTTGTAAGATACGAATGTGAATTGTTTTTTTAATTTTCTTCTTACTGCTTGAATATTTTATTTTATATTCTATTATACATTAAGGATATTAAGTCATCACACATTTCCATCTTTTTAATTAGAAGACAGTAATAATGTGGTATGACTACAATTTTTGACCTATATTCTCATGTTCAGCTACTTCTTTGGTTATATATTTTAGCATTGGTTTAATCTTAAAATCTGAGTATGGATTTAATCTGGGTTTTGGTGCATTTACTGAATTACGAAATCAGATGTGATAATCTTATTTTTTTCACAGTGGCTTAAAGAATGATTATAACAAAGAAACATTCACCTTGAAGCATAAAATTGATGAACAGATGTTTCCTTGTCGATTCATTAAAATAGGTAAGGATTGTAGCATTCTGAAACAAATATAAATTCTTGATACCGTCAGTCAGCAAACTACAGCCCACTGAATCCTGTGGTCCCCTGTTTTTTAATTAAAATGTTATGAGAATACTGTCACACAGGTTGTTCCCATATTGTCTGTCTGCTTTTGCACTACAAAGGTGAAGTTTAGTAGTTGCAGGAAACTACATAGTCCCCAAAATGTTTTTTATTTTGACCTTTACAGAAAATGTTTTTTGACCCCTGCTTTATAAATCTGTAACTAACAGGTAATTCAGTGAAACCATTTTCAAATGTTCTCTCATTTTAAAGTTTATTAGAAGATTTTATGAGATATAGTTGTTCGATTTCCTTGATTGTTTAATTGAAGTTTTTGTCAGTTCCAAAGCTATAACATTTGAAAATCGAATACTGATGAATTTCTTAAGGCAGACTATTTTCCATTGTGTTCTTTTGTATTTCATTGTTTTAGTGAAACGTTGCTCAAACACATAAAACTAATTTCATGACCCTGAGTAATAAGTTGAAAGGTAATGTTTGAAAAATACTACCTTAAAAAAAAAGAAAGAAGAAGAAAAATACTACCTAAGGTATATATTTATTGACCAAGTGTTTCAGCTGGAGAAAGTATTTGTAATACCTCCTCAAAATTAGTATTTGTAGGGTTATTTTGTTTTTCTTTAGATTTATTATTTAGAAGGTAGGAAAGTTAAGGACTTGAATCTTTTAATTTCCATCTGTTTGCGTACCTTTGGAAATATGTTAAAGTTGGGATTAAAGTGAATCAGATCCCTCAGAGAATAATAATAAAAGCCAGAATCCCATGTTTTAATTTGGGAGAAAAATTCCTCTTTTGGAACAAGCAGTATACTTCATAGTCGCTGTTTGCTATTTTATCAAGAGTTGACCTGTTTTATTTCATTAAGTCAGATAGTTTTGTTGGGCAAAAAGAATATCTGAAATCTTAATAAATATTACTTATAAAGGGAAAACTATTTTTAAAGAGTTGGGCTGCCCAGTGTATTAGGTTTTCTTTGTAACTATAGTTTCTGTTGTTTTAGTAAATAATAACCTGTGTCCTATTTTCCTGTGAGAATTTATGAACATGCAATTTTTAAAAATAAATTCTACTCTTGGTTTTTTTTTCTTTGGTACTAATGAGTAATCCTTTTCTCAGCATGCAGACCACCCATTTCTTACACTCTTGCATAGCTTTAACAGTTCTATGATCTTATATTTCAAATGTACAAGTAGTGAAATATGTTTTCATGTAATACATTTAGAATGTATAGTTTTAAAGTACTTATTCAACTTCTGTTTTGCCTAGTCATGCAAAATAAAGTTGTTGTTGTTTTTTAATTACTTTTTGTGGTGCTTTTTATACCTTTCCTATGGTCTTGTTTTCCTTAAAAAAAAAAAAAAAAAATCGACTGCTTCAGTAGTTCTTAATCCTCTTGTATTATCCATTAGAAATATCAGTAAAAGTCTGTTTCATGCAGTTGCATAGTTTTCCTTAAAATTTTATAAGAAAACAGAGGTTTCATATGGAGCTGTTAAGACATTCAGCTTGTGTAAAGACAAGAATTTGGACCTTTTTCCAGCCTTTTCTATGACCCTTTTAATGATAAGGCATAATGATGTTTTTTACTTTCCCTTGATGGATTAGTTTTATGGTATTCAGGCAAAATGTTAATTGGAGCTTTCCAAATAATTGTAGACACTTATTAACTCAGTTGATATTTAGGATGTTAATATTTAGATAACTTCATATTTCTCACTTTTCTGTTAAAAGATGTTAATGGTGGTTTGCAGTGTCTTTGCTTTTCAACCTTTTCCCAACATTCTCCTGATAAGTTTAAAAAAAAAAAAAAGGAAAAAAATGAAACTAAAAGCCTATATATTAGGTTAGTATTTTTAGTTTATCAGTATGTTTTGTTTTGTTTTTTAATCCTCACCTGAGGACATGCTCACTGATTTTAGAAAGAGGAAGGGAGAAAGAGAGAGAGGGAGGGAAACAACAACCCTTTGCCTTTTACACCCTCATGACTGAACCTGCAACCTAGGTGTGTGCCCTCATCAAGAATCAAACCTGCGACCTTTTGGTTTACAGGATGACACTCCAGCCAGCTGAGCTGAGCACACCAGCCAGAGCTAGTGCTGTGTGTTCTTTAATTGAGTGATGTGTAGCTCTCTTTTGGTGGTGACTTAGCACGGATATTTTACCTAGTTGGTATAAATTGTTAGATATATACTTAAAAGAAAAATGTGTTTGAATATTTCATATTCATGTTCTGCAGTAATATGTTTGAAAGATTTTGCTTTATTTAAAAAGTTTTTTCTTAAACAACAAAATTGCTGAATATAGTCAGCCTTCAATTATTCTTGGTAAGGGAAGGGAACAGAAGCAAGACTACCTCAGGGGAAGATCTCCAGATCATGCACCAACAGCAACTGGGATAATTTTTCTAATGAACTAACTGAACTAACAAAGTGGAGACAGACTTATGGATCCAGAGAACAGACTGACACTTGTCAGAGAGCAGAGGGTTGAGGGCTGGGTAAGAAGGGTGAAGGGATTAAGCAAAGGGGAAAAAAGCCTCATGAACACAGACAATAGTATGGTGATTGCCAGAGGGCAGGGGGTTGGGGGCAGGTAGAAGAGGGTAAAGGGGGGATAAATGGTGATGAAAGGAAACTTGACTTGGGGTGGTGAACATGCAATACAATATACAGCAAATATATAAAAGTATAGAATTGTATACCTGAAACATTTATAATTTTATTATCCAATGTCACCCCAATATATTCAATTAAAAAATAATAAATAAATGTGGTAATTTTCATTGGTAAGGAATATAGGTTATTTGTTAAATTTGGGTTAAACCAAATTTAAGTTTTTAAAAGTAATGTAAGCTCATATTTATGAAGAAAATTATTTCATTTTGCATATCTTTTTGTACATTTTTATACTTATATTCATATAGCTATTGTTTACATGACTTCTTAAATGTAGTATTTTGGATACTATAGAAAAAATGCAAAAATATAATTTGAATTATGTCATTTCAGTAATTATTATTTAGAGCTTATGTTTTTATTTTTGACAGTATATAAGTGCTTTCACATGTGGTATCTCATTTGAACATTATACTGGCAGATAAAATCTTTCCTCTTTTGATTGAAGATACTAGTGATGGATCAAAGACATAGCATTTGCTTGCATATATGCTTGTATTGTTTTAAAGTAATAATAGTAGGTATCATTTATGAAGCATCTGCCAAACACTGTGTGAGATAGGCATTATTATATTCACTTTACGGAGGAGAAAACTGAAGTTTAGAGGTTAAGAGGCTGGGCCAAAACCATACAGGCAGTTAAGTGCAGAGATGAGATACAAACTTAAGTCTACTTCCAAAGATTGGGTTGTCTTACTATGTGATATATGTAAGTTTTGTTTCCTCAAGCAGATTATGAAATCCTTGGGGATAGTAACTCTGTCTTCTCTTTCCTCTAAGAAGTCAAGAATATATACTTTTTGAGTTTATTGTACAGGAGTTTAGAGAAATTAATCAGTGGTTTCATGAACTTGATGAGAAAATGTTGCAACTTTATGTTCTCTAACCTCTAATATACTTATCATTTCTTCCAATTTTAAGTATAGGCAATAATTCATAGTATTATATCAAAACTTACGATTGTCACAGAAGTTACAAATTTTTCCCATCACTTCAGAGTGTGGCAAATATAGTAAATTTGAAATCAGGGTAATTATTAGACCTGCCTCTAGATCTTACTATCTAATGTATTAGTAAAAAAGCATATATATTTTGTATGTAATTTTGTTTCTTTATAGTTTTTATAACTATACTTCAGTACAGTTGGTTTACTCTGTAATCTTACGTATTTTCCTTTATGCATTTAAATCTGAAGGGGGTTGAGTCACAGAGTTCACCAAACAGCCATAGGGGATTCATGGCACAGAAAAGGAAAAGAGCTGACGCTGGAACGATGTCTTTAACAGGACTTAGTGTGGAAGTTGAGAGTTGGCCTTAGGAAGAAGTTTGGTTTCAGTAAGACCTGTAATTAAAAGGAGAATTTAGTAAAGAAGGAGGGTAATTAATTGGGAGACCAAATTTGAGAGAGCAAGATGAAAATTTAGAAGGGAAAACCTCCTCAGTGGAAGATAGATCAGATGAGAGGAAACAGAGTGGAATGGGATGGGGGGGTTGGTTACAGATTACTAGAAGGATTTACATCCCGATTCATAGCCAAGATAACAGCTGTGTGAGGGAAATTAGCAAGGTGAAGTGGGGTCAAAGAAGGTATTTGGGGAGAACTCTTAGATTCTGGGGGAATCCTGTTTTTTGGTAGATGGGATTACTTGGATATGTGGAGTTTTGGATTTTTACAGCCTACATGGTTGTGGTTACTTTAGGGAGAAGCTTCAGTTTTGGCTGGATTCAGCCTGTTTTCTGGGTTCTCAGGAGTGTTTAGAAGGCTAGGATGAGTACTAAATCTGGGGAGGTGGCCTGATGAGAGCCCTTCGTGTAAACATGTGGAAAGGTAACATTTTAAAAATGTACTAGTAAAAAGAAAATTAATATAGCAATAATACCTAATAATAGTAGTAGTAGTGCCCTGACTATTGTGGCTTATTGGGTTGGGCATCCTCCTGCAAACAGAAAGATCACTAGTTCAATTCCTGGTCGGGATTGTGGGCCAGCTCCCTGGCTGGGGGTGTGTGAGAAGCAACCCATTGACATTTCTCTCACACATCAATGTTTCTCTCTTTCTTCCCCACTCTCTAAGAAATTATTAAGATCTTTTAAAAAAAAATTAGGAGTAGCTAACTTTTATTTAGCGCTTACTATGTGCCAGTTACTCTGTTAAGTACTTTGTGTGCTTATCACATAATTCTGTTGTAGAATAGGTGCACTTGTTCAGAATGGTTAATCTTGAATTTTTAGAGTCTTCCAGACCCTGACCTTAAAATTGCTAGCATCTTTTAATAACTGTTTTAGTCATCTGGATAGGAGTTTGCCTGTCTAGATGATACTGCCAAAGCACACTGAATGTGCCACAGATGGTGTTTCACTGTGTGGAGATGGTGATCCCTCCTCATTCCTAGAGTAGAAGGAACCTGCAGCCTGGTACCCTTGTGTGCCATACAAATATTATTTTCCATGCATGCCATCATGAAAAAGGATGAGAAGCGCTGATTCTGATCATATCTGTGCCTGATTTTCTCATGGGGAAAGTTGGCAGTGGGGTCCTAGGGTATAAACTCTTAGCTTTGGGAATGTGTATTAGGGGTTCCTGATCTTTTTATTTGAGGTGTGAGCAAAGGCATTGTTCATTGTGGAACAAAGAATGTGTGCTTGGAGCTTCAATTCACATTTAAATTTCTGACATATAGTACATAGTATGTCTAATACGCGTTATTAGTGTTAATGCCACCAAAATTTTTAAAAAATATATATGCTGACTGATTTTCAAGAGAGAGAGGAAGAGAGAAAGAGAAACATCAGTGTGAGAGAGAAACATCAATAGGCCTGCTGTACGCACCGGACCAGGGATCTAACCCACAACCTATGTTAGGTGCCCTGACTGAGCATTGAACTCACAACCCTTGGGTTGTAGGGCAGCGCTTCAACCAGCTAAGCCACACCAGCCAAGGCTTAATTTATTTTTTAATTTAATTTATTCAGGTGACATTGGCAAATAAAATTATATAGGTTTTAGGTATACAATTCTACAATATATGATGTATGTATTGTATTGTGTCTTTACCACACCAAGTCAAGTCTCCTTCCATCGCCATTTATCCCTGCTATATCTACCCTCTTGTATCCCCTTCCCCCAGTTTCTGGAACTGTATATTCTTCATTCTCTTGTAATATATGAATGTTCTTCTGAGATGACTTCCTTATTAACCCTCCTCCCAACAATGTTCTTGGAAAAGTATTAAGAATTAGAATTTAATTTTATTCTAGAAATTTATAGTGGGCCTTTAGGTATATAGGAAAAATACCACTAAGACATAAATGCTTAAAAGTTTTCACAAATAAACATTTTAGTGGGACTTGAATAGATATAATAGGAAGATTTTTTTCCCTCCTGATTTTTTTGAACTTGGACCTAGAACTTGAGGTTAGATTTTAGATCTGTAACTAACATTAGATGTCTGCTTATACTTACAGACTATCTTCTTGGGGCTTTGGGTTTAGAATTCTGTTTTATTCTGACTATTATACTACTTGATGGTTATTACTGTGATATACTAGATAAAGTTTTTAAATGGTACTGCTATGTAAAGAAATGGATATCACAACAACAGTAATGCAGTATTCATTGCTGTAAAACTTTTTGAAATTTTTACTGTTTGCATATATAAACTGATAGCCATATTAAACATCCTAATGACTAGTTGCTACTGACTGTGTCTGTCTTCACTCACACAGCTGCCTTAGATGGCAGTATGGGAAAGTATCTGACTAGTACATCTTAGCTTATTGAGTCTGATATTGCTAAAGAGTAGTGGACATGGAAATTAATAGCCTCGATGTTGGATACAGTGGACATTCTGTGTTGGTATTTAATCAAAATTTGACAAGTGAGAGTTTCTTAAAGGCAGTTGCATTATTCACTCTGAACCATATTGGTGTCACACCAAACTCCATTGGCATGTCTTGCACTTTGAATTAACCTTTTATCCATTCATGGTTTTGTAATACCATCCTTTTGTCATTTAGAAAATATGATTCACTGAGTTATACAGATGGTTTACATGTTAAAACATTTAATTATATAGTATTGTTTTAAATCACAATCATTAACATCACCACCAATCTTATCAGAAAAATCTTAAGTATTAGAAAGTTATTAAGCTCACAGCAGTGATACCAATTTTCCAAAATTCTAATTTTCCCTTGAGAGCTTAAATTTTATACTTGGCAACAAATACTGTGAGCTATTTTCTTTGGAATGACAGGTAAATATCTGACGAATGCTCAAATCTAAATAATCTAAAGAATCATAGATGGTCTTTCAAGAAAAAGTGGTATCTTGGGGGTTCAGGAACAGGAAACAAATGACTATTTTAGCTCACAACTCTACCAACTGTGCAGGTCCTATTCCTTGCAGTAGCCATCATACTTTGGTACACAGCAAAAATGCTTTATGTGTACTTCACATTCTGTCACACAGAATATTAAAAAGATGTGTTCTTAATGATAGGGATTTCTTAAAATTACTTTTAACTGCATCATGGATATTCTTAAATGAATTGTCTTTTCTTTAATCTGCAAGTGTGTGATGGTGAGGAATACATCCAATGTGTATTATATTAGGAAATACTACTAGACTTTCGTGCTACTGTGGTACTCCATGGCACTACCAAGGTGCCAGCAGTCTTACTCATTGTTGCCTTTGCACCATGAGTGCAAATGTCAGTGTGTACACACACACACACACACACACACAGAGAGAGAGAGAGAGAGAGAGAGAGAGAGAGAGAGAGAGTTCTAGTCTTATGAAAAATAGTTTGGACTACATGGGTCCTCCTGAAAGTATTGTTGGGATTGCCAATGGCCCCATGGATTGCATGTTTAAAACCTCTACTCTGTTCTGTCATTGCTGATTATTCATGGTAAATTCCTCTAAATCCTTGAGATTTTTTGACACACTCTTCAATGATTTACCTTCCTTAATATTGAACTTCAAATTACTGTATTTTTTTAGGATGTTTATTTTCTTACTATTTTTATTTAAGGTATAAGGTATTTTTGTATTACTTTCAGATTAGTTTGTTCAGTTACATGTCAAGAAAAAAATGGATATATATAATTGGGATTTTGATTGAAATTACATTAAATTTATAATTAATTTGAAAGAAATTGACATGTTTACAACATTGCGTTTTCCCATCTAGGAACATAGTATGTCTTTCTATTTATTCAATTTTTAAGTAAAATTTTGTTTCCTTAAATAGATCTTGCATACTTTAAAGTTTATTCTGAGATATTTTAAGCTTTCTCTGCCTTTATAAAGGGAACTTTTTGAATTATATTTTCAAGTGAGTTATTATGTGCAGGGAATGCTTATTTTCATGTTTACATACATATAAAAATTTTTCAGTTGAATCTCTTGACATTTTTAGATAACTATATAATCTTCAAATGATAATATTTTCTCTTAATTTGCAAGTTTTTCTTTATTGTACTGGCCAAAGATCTCTCATATAGTATTAAATAGTAGAGATACTGGGCCTCTGTTTGGCAATACTTAATGTTTCTCCATTAGGCTTAACTTTTGAGGTTTTTAATCCTTAAAAAATAACCTAGGTAAGAATGTTTTCTGTTGCCTTCTATTTAAGAGAGTTATTTTAATGAGTAGAAAATAAACTTTGTTTACAGTTAGCACCATTTGAGGTAATCAGATTTGCTTCTCATATACTGTTAACATTGTGAATTACATTAATATAGCTCCTATTATTTAACCACCCTTCCATTCCTAGAATGAATTGTATTTGGTTTCAATGAAAACCTGGTAGAATTTTTTGCAACTTAAAAAAAAAAATTGTATATGTGTTCATAGCTGAGATTGGCCTTAAATCCTTTTTCTTCTGGTTTTGTTTTCAGGATTATGCCACTTTGATAACTAAACTTTCAATCTCTGATATATCATAATTGTTTGTTTTTGTGGGTTTGCTAGAATTTGCGTGCTGAATCATCTAGCCCTGGCCCTGTTTTGGGGGTATATGTAAATGACCACTTTGACTTTATCTTACTATGTATTTATATTAAAGAAACTTCATGATGGCAATTATGTTTCTTTTTGCTCATGTAGTCCCAGCACGTAATAGTACAGTGCATATAGAAACTATGCAGAAAATCTGTTGAATGAATCCAAATAGGCCTGAATAGTGATTTTACTTTGCCTAAAGTTTTATTTGAACTATGTTAATTTTTTTTCTTTTTTCTTCCTTCTTCCTTCCTTTCTTCCTTCCTTTTTTTTTTTTCCCCCCCCTCCTCAAAGTTCCACTCTTATCCTGGGGACCCAGCTTTAACTTTAGCATCTGGTATGTTGAACTTAGTGGCATTGATGATCCTGATGTAGTACAACCTTGTCTCAACTGGTATAGCAAGGTAGGACTGTATTTTAAAATCCTGATATTATGTTTCTAATGCCTATGAAGAGAGTTTTGTGTCAATCTCTTGTTTTTATTGAGAATAATTTGAAATTTTGAAAATAGTGGTAATTATTAGTGTTAATCAACTTTATAAAGCATTTATATATTCCAGCTTCTAAGCAATTTTTATAATTTATTAAATCACTACCAGTCTATGAGATAGGTATAGTTATCATCCATATTTTACAGGTGATAAAATGGTGCACTGAGAGGTTAATTATTTTGCCTAAGATCATACAGTTATAAAGTGTTCAAGTATATAGGCTCAGGTAGTCTGGCTCCAGAGTCTGCTATTGTATTATTATACTCTTCTGACTATGAATTTTGTGATCAAAATAATTAAACACAATCTTTAGTGGGGTAGTTTTGGTTCTAAATTGCTTTTATAGCATATTCCTTCATTGTATTTATATTGAGTAAAATAGGAAATTTTACTTTTTAAAGACTGTGAAATAGTTTCTATAAATATATGATCTTGTGCTTACAGGAAAAATAAAAATTATATTTAACAGTGTTATTCATAGGGCATTTTATACAGTAGATACATCCTGAGACATGTGAGTTTAAATTATTTAGAAATAGGCCTTATGTTTCATTTTTGTCTTCACTCTTTTTTTGGGGGGGGGGTTTAAAATATATTTCATTGACTATGCTATTACAGTTGGCCCAAGTTTCCCCCATTCCCCCCCTCCACCTTGTACCCCTATTCCCTCCAGCAATTCCCCCCTTAGTTCATGTCCATTGGTCATGCATATAAGTTCTTTGGCTACAACATTTCCTATACTATTCTTTTTTTTTTTTTTTTAATTAATTTATTTACTTTTTAAATACATTTGTCTCTGCCTTCCCCCCACCTCTTTCCCTTGCCCCCTCCCACCTTCCCTCCCTCAGGGCTTCCCCTTTGTCTTCACTCTTATTTCTTATTATTTCACTCTTGGCCAGTTTTGGGAGAGGGGTCTTTTTTATTGATGAGGTGATAAAACTTTAGTTTAATCAATAGTGCCTGATATTTTTATTTGCAAGTAAACTGATTTACTCATAGGAGATTGGGAAACAATATAGGTTTTTTTGTATCAAATATCAGCTCTGTTTTGGTCGGTTTAAATGAGGAACTTTTTGACTAATTTATTTTTGGCATTTGATTATATTCAGTTTAAAATAGAAGCTAAACTTTAGTATTTTCTATATTTTTCGTATGTTTTTGGATTTCTTGTAATATTGTAAATTCTTTCAAGGTAAAGTCCCAATATGTTTAAACATTAAAAATCACCTTTACAACCCTGACCGGCTTGGCTCGGTTGAGCTTTGTCCTGCAAAGTGAAAGGTTTGAATCCTGGTCAGGGCACATGTGTGGGTTGCGGGCCCAGTCCCCAGTTGGGGCATGTGCAAGAGGCAGCCCATCGATGTTTCTGTCCCTCTCTTTCTCCTTCCTTTCCCCTCTCTCTTAAAAATAAGTAATTAAAACCTTTTTTTAAAATCACCTTTACAGTGTAATTCACATAATAGGTAGTACATACTTAAAATCTTCTAAAGATGTTTTTTAAAATTTAAAAAAATAGCTCATTTGATAGCTGACTAAAATTTTTCCTGAATTTAGCATATGATGTGAGTGTGTGTTTTCTTTAATATACTCACATGAATCTCTTGATATTGCAGGAAGTTGCAAATTTCACCTCTTTCCCCAACACCATGGGGAGATTATATTTATAGAGAACTTCAAACTGTTCAAACACATTCACTTTTCAAGTTCTCTGAAACTCTAGAAATTAAAGTTAAAACCCTCACCCTCTTTGTAGTTTCAGTCCTTTTTTTAAGCGTTAAAATTCTGTTATGTCATAAATCCTCTCCTACTATGTATCTACATATCACCTGATAGAAAATTTAAAATAGGGATGTGATTCAGACTCCTAAAGTCAACAAAATAAAACGTTATTACTATTTAACATAGTTGTGGATAGTTATTTATGGTAAATCTTTATTTACAGACCAAGGGTAAGAAACCAAAAACGTAAAATTAGTTTGGATATAGAATCATTCTTTTGAGGGAGGATCTTGGTTACCTATAGTGCTTAGAAATAGTGTTTTGAAAACCTTTTATTAGTTAAAATATCAACCAACTGATTTTTTTTCTCATAAAGCTTCCTAAATGTAGCATCATATTTTCCTGCCTTATTAAAAGATATTGCTTACAAGTAAATAATATTTTTGTTTGGTTTTTGTGCATCGCTTCTGTGTCATTAGTTTAGTTATTATTTAGAAAATTTGGAAATCTCAAAACATATTTTTGAACTTACTGTTTACTTTTAAAAATTCTTTATATGAACTTGTATCTATTTTTGGCACTCATACCCTTAGGAGAAAGATTTAGTAAATTAAACATTTCTCTTTTTGGATTCTAGTTAATTGAGATTTTTACTTATTGCTGTTAAATAGATGAGGTAGCCCAAGGTTAGCAAAAATTGTAGAATTTAAATTGTCTCTAATGATTTTGACTCATAAAACCTGTTTGTGAACTTAAAATACATAAATATTTGATAATAGTTGTCATTCAAGTAATAATACTAAGAACCAAGAACAAAAAGCACAATATAATTTATGTATATTATTTAATGGTTTCTGTGCCTTCAGTGCTAACATTGTATTCTGATTTGTAAAAGCTATGGAAGTTTTAATTTTTATTATCTGAAGTTAGCTTTGATAATTTTTTTGCTTTTCTTGAAAGTTCAGTGTCTAGAATTAGATCTGGTGTCATCTTTTTGTATCTTCCTCTTCATGAAATATATACCTGTATATATGTGTGTATATATATGTATACATATCTGTATATCTTTATCTCGTTCCTACCTTTCTCTTACATATTTTGTGACCTGTGGCAAAGGTTATAACAATTAACTGTCAGTTTTGCCATTTAAAAGTGGAAAAATAATGGTACTAATGAATAGGGTTAGTACAACACTTAGCACATAATAAATGCTCCTTTAGATTAGTTATTACTTATTTCCTATTGTAATAACTAAGCAGATCTCTTCTTTTCATATTTTCTCTTGTGTTCCAGTAGTACCGTGAACAGGAAGCCATTCGCCTTTGCCTAAAACACTTTAGACAACACAACTATACAGAAGCCTTTGAATCACTGCAAAAGAAAACGAAGATTGCCTTGGAACATCCTATGTTAACAGATCTGCATGATAAACTGGTGTTGAAGGGTGATTTTGATGCTTGCGAAGAGCTGATTGAAAAAGCTGTGAATGGTATGTTATAAACATTAAACTTAGTTGAAAATTGCTGCTTTATAGAATGACATCCTTTAAAAAACACTTTTCCACAGTGACTTTCATGGTGACAAAGAACTGAATCGGTGCTTCTAGTGTAAAAAAAAAAAAAATATATATATATATAGTCTTTATTTGGTTCCTGGCACACAGCTCCTAAAACCCTTGGCATCTGAGGAGGGGTAAGAGTGTCTCATATGCTGAGATGACGAGGTGGCTACGGTTCCTAGATAGCTTCAGATCTCCGGAAAGACCAAACCATGTGATTAGAGGACTGGAAATTTCAGTAGCACTGTGTCCCCCCACCCACCTCTGAGGAAGCGAGAGAGATCAGAGATTGAGTTCAGTCACCAGTGGCCAATGTTTTAATCAATCATCTCTACGTAATGGAACCTCCAAAGAAAAGGCCCTAAATAGTGGGGTTCAAAGAGCTTCCAGTCTGGCAAACACATCGGGACACTGGAAAAGTGGTATGCCTAGAGAGGGCATGGAAGCTGTAAACACATACCTGCCCCCAGTACTTTGTCCTGTGCTCTTTTTCCATTGGCTATTCCTGAATTGTATCCTGTATAATTAACCAGTTACAGTAAGTAAAGCACTTTACTGAATTCTGTGCTTACTCTATAAGTTTTTGAGCGTTGAGAGGAGTTGTGGGAAGCCTTGATTTGTAGCCAGTATGTTACAAGTACAGTGGCCCAGAACTTGTGCTTGGCATATGAAGTGGGAATTGTCTTGTGGGACTGAGCTTTTTAACTTGTGGAATCTCATGCTTACTCCAGGTAGATAATGTTAGCATTAAATTGAATTGTTGGATATCTGATTGGTGTCATTAGAGAGCTGATGTAAGAAAAACCCCCACACACTTGGTGTTAGGTACATTGTGAGTAAAAGCAGCTTAATGCTCAATATAAAATTTGTGGAATAGAATTTGGTGAATATTTTTATAGAAAGAAATAATAATAGACTTTCTCACTGCTTTTATGTATTTTAATCTTATCACTGTTATTACCCAGTATTGTTAGGTACTCACTTATCAGATAAGTTTTTGGTTGAATTTTACAACAGAAGAAAACAGAACCAGTACTGCCTTCTTTAGAAGTTTAAAAGTTAACATAAAATTAGTTGTTTCTAGCTCCAGTGAGTTAAAACAACAAACCTGCCTCTCAGCCAATGACGTTGTTACTGCTTATTTAATTGGTGATGACACATGCAAATAAATGATTATGTGTGAAACAATATATTTTGGAATATGAATAAAGAGAATATATATGATAATCCTTCCCAAACCATTGAACTGCAGTCAGTGAAAATATACATGTATATATATTCGTTTCAAAGAATGAATTTTATAATTTATCTTACAGAATAAGTAAGAAAGGCACAAATAATTTTATGGGGGTTTGTTTTGTTTCAGATCTTTAAGGCATGTAATATTTTATTAAAATAAACAATAATGGCAACAAAAACCACAGGCTACTTTATATAATTATTAGGCTAAAAAGTTAATTTTAAAACTGTCTAAACTGTTTACTATACTCATTTAAGAAAAGTTCTTAAAATCATGTGCAACTATGATACTACAGAGACTTAACTTATTCTTCCTGTTATAGGAGGAAACCAAGTTAAATTGGTAGTAACTCTGTTCTTGAGACTTAGAGCCAAGTTATATTTTTTGTACTCCTCAACTGGCTTGCAACCGTGTTTAGTTAATAAACATTCCTTCCAGGGTTGTTCAGTTTGCTGCTGACTTCACTGATGATAATTTGTTGGACAAATAAGGAAGTAAACACTGCCTTTGGCTTCTGTTCCACTAAAAACAGCAGAGAAAGTCAAGGATTTCCTCCCTGCTAAAATAGGAAGACACAGGGAATCAAAAGCATCTTCCATCAAGCATCTTATCATAGAGGGAACAAAAATTACTTTTAGTATATGTAGTGTATTACTACACTCTTCAGGTATGATCTGTACTTTAAGAAAGTATGTCTAATTAGCTTCCTGTTTGCGTAGAAACATCTTTATGTTTCCATTTATATAATTCATTACGGGGGATTCCTGAACAAATCGATGCTACTTCCTCTCTAACAATGCCAGAGAAAAAAGGTAGAATCCAGTGATGATGGGCAACAGTTATCACCTAGGAACAGGAAATTGTCTCATTTCCTATTGAAAAATAATCTACTTTTGTGAGATAAAGGTGGATTCAAGTTTAATAACACTCCAACAGGTTCACTAGTCCAAGTGTTTCCTAAAGTATCAAGTTGAGGTCTTTATCTCCTTTCCTCTTTCCTTTATTACCTCTTTACCCCTCCTGCCCCCTTTCCTTCTCCCCCACCTCTTCTATTTTTCTCTTTGTGCTTTCTTACCCCTTGATTTGTGCAGTGGTTGTTAGCCTGGCAGGACTATCCTTAAGAGGGTTTTTTTGTTTGGTGTTTGTGTGTGTGTGTGTGTGTGTGTGTGTGTGTGTGTGTGTGTGTGTGTGTTAAGATTTTATTTATTTTTAGAGAGGGGAAGGGAGGGGGAAAAGAGAGGGAGAGAAACATCAATGTGTGGTTGCTTCTTGCAAGCCCCCTACAGGGGACCTGGAACCCAGGCATGTACCCTGACTGGGAATTGAACCAGTGACCCTTTGCTTCTCAGGCCAGGCGCTCAGTCCACTGAGCCACATCAGCTAGGGCCCTCCTCTTAAAAGTTTTTAAAGTGATATCTCAAATCATGGTGGAGTAACCTTTGTGGCAAGGTTTTTAACTGCAAATTTAGTATTGTCAATAGCTCTAGGACTATTTATATTCTGTATTTCTTTTTGAGTGAACATTGGTAGTTTGTGCCTATTGAGGAATATGCTCATTTCATCTATTGGTGAATTTATTGGTATAAAGTTGTTCCAATACCTTTTTAAGAGGATATAATATTTATCCTCTTAATACCTTTGTGTCATCTCTTACTCTTGATATAGGTAATTTTTGTCTTTCTTTTTTTTCCTATGCAGAAAACTGGCTTAGAAAGCTGTTGATTTTTAAGAAAACAGCTCCTGATTTCTCAGTTTTATGTTGCCTTTTCTCCTCTCTTTCTGTGTATGTTTCTATTTCTTTCTATTTCATTGATTTCATCTATCTATATTATTTCCCTTCTCCTACATGCTTTGGTTTTAATTTGCTCTTTTTTAGTTTCATAAAATGAAAGCAGAGGCCATTGACTTGAGATCCTTTTTAATGTAGGCATTTGATGCCAAGAGTTTCTAAGCACTGTATTAGTTTTATATCATGAATTTTGCTATGCTATGTGTTTATTTTTCTTCAGTTTAAAAATGCATATATAAAATGACTTATTTTTCTTTCCAACCTTTATGCCTTTTTTCCTCTGCTCTTTAGTCTTTGTGACAGGATATTTAGTACAAGCAGGGTTGAGGTGACATGATGACAGTGGGTCTCCTTATGTAGTTCATGATCTCAAAAGAAATGCTTTCAACATTCTGTTAAATATGATTTTTGGTCTGTGATTTTTGGAGATCCTGTATCACATTCTTAGATTACTAAGAGTTTATATTATAAATAGCTAGTGAATTTTACGACTTTTTGTATTATGATTTTTTTCTTTATTAATATGTAAAATCATAGTAATTGATTTGCTAATGTTAAACCTCAGGTGTACTTACCTTTGTGTTATATTTTTTTGCTGTATTTTGGATATAGCTCGACTTATGTTTTGTTAGAATTCTTCCAGCTATTTTCACTGTTAAGATTGGCCTTATAATTTTTCTTTCTCTTACCTTCCTTTTCACATTTAGTATCATTGTTAGGCTACCCTGACATAATGGGTTGAGGAGTTAACCTATTCTTCCTGTTCTCTGAATATGTGTAAGATTTGAGTTATTTTGTTCTCACGTGCTTGGTAGAACTTACCGTGCAGCTCTCTGTTGGAATTTGCTTGGGGGAGTACTTTTTGTCTATCAAGTCAGTTTCTTTAAATGTTGTAGGACTCTTCAGGATTGTTTGGTTGGTTGGTTTGACAACTTATATTTTTCTAGGAATTTGTCAATGTCACTTAAAACTTTAAACTTAATGGGCACGAAAATATTCCTAATATCCCCTCATTATCTGTTTAATATGTGCAGGATTTCTTGAGAGGTCTCTTTTTTTGTAGTTCTTTTTTTTTCTTTTTCTTTCCATCATTCTTACCAAAATTTTATCAACCTCACTCGTGTTTTTGAAGGAAACAATTTCTGGATTCTTGATATTTTTTGTTATTTTTAATGTCCTTGACTTATGCTCTATGTTTAATATTGTCTTCTTTCTCTCTTTGGAATTACTTTGCTGTCTAATTGAGATGAGTGCTTAAGTTATTAATTTCCAGGCATTATTATTTTCCCATTTAAGGATATTAATTTTCTTCTGTGGTAGGCAATTAGGCAGACATAAGCAAAGCAAGGATGATGGGCCAGGTATGAAAGGTAACCAGGGTGGAAAGCCATGAGCACCTAGCAACAGGCAAAACTGGGCTGGTACCTCACCCCCAGGATAACCTTTCCTCCCCTAACATATCACTGGCGTGAGGTTGGGACCCTCCCCTGGCCTTTCCACCCCTGGTATGATACCAGTCACGGGGGTTAGACCCCCGCCCCCTTAGAGGACAAAGGAACAAAGGGGCCAGAGATTAGCCCTTAAGTATTAAGTCCCCGGGACAATGAGGTTTTGACCCACATCAAATGCATCTAGGCCTCAATTGTGTTTCAGCTCCAAGCCCAGAAAAGGAGCAAAACAAGACAAGGGATGCTGCAATGACTAAGGACCCCTTGTCCTGGTGCCAACCAATCAGTAGAGACCACGACCCTGAAAGGGCACACCTGGAAAGCTGATGAATATTCTATTGGAATTCTCTCCTGAGACCTCCAGAATAATACCCTCAAAATGGAGGACCCAGTGTGGCTCTCTTTATGGACCATACCGAGCTTTTCCCCACTCCCTCCATACCAGGCACTTGTT